GCACATTTCCCCCCGCCAGGGAGACCTGTTTTGAAGTCGATTATTTGAATAAAATCACAGATAATAGGATAGTAAGGAAAAATTCCCAGCCATGTTCATAATTACTGGGCTGTATTCCTGATGCAGATCCAAACGTTGTTACTTAATGATGTAATTAGCCAGACAACCATGCGCTTTAATGAACACTCCTATGCATATGCAGCGCAAAATTTGTGCTGCTTGTTTTTTTCTTTCCTTTGGATAGAAACTGTTTAAATGGCATATTTCCTTGTGATAGTGAGAGCTTTGGAGTTTTCATTGTAGAACTATATCCTCATTACCTATTGTAGCCTCTGTTGGATTGATTTTTGAGTTTTTCTTAATAAGAGCCACCTGCTTTCTTGGGTCCCTTTTAGTCTGAGTAGAAGTGGCAGTGTCTCCACCTCTCTTAAGGGTGGTGGCAATATGTGCGACAGGGTTATGTTCCAGGCCAGACGCAGGCCACACCCCCATGTTATGGGGTTAAACATCAGTACCAAAACAGCTTCAGAGGGTCACACAACTGCAGGGGAATTCTATTTCCAGCAGCCTTCTTGCTCTGGGAAAACTCCCAAGATTGGGGAGAGGGAATTGTCATAGGACTCTTCCTTACTGATTGGAATACTCCCTCATGCAGCCTTTTCTCCCAAGGTATCAGCTCACCTGCAAGGTCAGTCGCAGTCAGGGCGTGGAGTGGGCCCCTTCACCGTGAGGCTGCTCATACTGAATGGATCTGGACTTTGGGATCACACAAACCCTGGTTTGGATACTGGCTCTATCTTTTATTAGGGGTGTGGCTTTTGAATGTGACTTAAGCTCTTAGGATCTCTATTTTCATATCTATAAACTACATGAAAAAACAATAACACATCTACCTTGCAGGGTTTTCTGTGAGGAGTACATAAGATAGTGTATATCTAATAAAGTACCCGTATTAGTTTTTGTGGGTCTTTTTTTTTTTTAGCTTTCATCTACTTGGTATTTGGTAGGTGTGAGTTATCTCTGTTGGATAACAAATATAGGGGTAATGTATTTGTGTCTCATTGTTACACTAACAAATTACTGATGCCTGTTTTCTTCCTTGGGCTGCTCTCATATCAAAGTAACATTTATTGCATCTTGAACAATGATAAAGTAGCAGCAAGCTGTCAGTAAACAACTATTTATTGAGTATTTACTATATAAAATACTATTTTAAGTAGGCATTATGGGGTGCAAGAGATTATAAGATATATGATTCTGTCCTTTACGAACTGTGCACCTACTTGGGAAGACAAAATATATTTATAAAAACACATAAATCCTCAAGCAAGAAATAAATGTCAAATGAATGGGATAGATAATTATTCTCGATTCTACTTCTCTCGCTCTCACATCCAGTCCATCGTCAAGAATGCTGTTCTGCTTTCTGCTTTCAGATTGCTTCTCAAACCCATCTTCTTTCCACTTCCATCTCAGGTTCATCCAAGACCCCATCCTCTCTCTGTAGGACTGCTGCTGCAGACCCTATCTGATCTCTTTCCTTTAAAAAAATTTTTTTTTTTAATTGATTTTAGAGAGGGAGAACGGAAGGGGGGGAGAGAGAGAGAAAGAGAGAGAGAAACATCGATGGGATGCCTCCCATACATGTCCCAACCAGGATCAAACCTGCAACCTAGGTATATGCCCTGACCAGAAACTGAACCTGTGACCTTCTGTGCACAGGACGACACTCCAGCCAATTGAGCCACACCAGCCAGGGCAGATCCCTCTCCTTTTAATCCTGTTCTCCCATCCCTTCTCCACCCAACAGTCAAAATGGCCTTTTAAAAACCAACATCAGATTATTTTATTCCCTTGCGTAACACCCTCCAAGGGCCTTCAACTGCTTTTAAGTAAAATCCAAGCTCTTTGGTAAGGCTTACAAGGCCCTGTGTGATTTGGCCTTGCTTTTCGCTCCACCTTCATCTCATGCCAGAGCAAACAGGTTGCTCTTCCCTTTCTGTAACACAGCAAGAGCTTTCTCACCTCAGCGCCTTTGCAATGGCTAATTCATTTGGTTGAAATGTTTTTCCTTTGCTTCTGAACATGACCGGCTCACTCTCATGCTTCAGGTCCTTAACTCAGACGTTACCTCCGTAGAGACATCAAACCGTTCCTGACCACTCTACTTAAAAAGCCTTTCCCATCCTATCACATTATCTTACCTCCTACATAACATTTATCACAACCTGAAATTATCTTGTTTATTTTGTTTATGGTCTGTTCTCTCCCCAAGTTGTACGAGGGCAGTGATCTTGTCCATTTTGTTCATTGCAGTGATGACTAGCATAGTGTCTGGCATGCATGAGGTGCTCAATAAATGTATGAATAAATGAACAAATGAATATAGGTCACAAAAGTTCAGAGGAAGAAGGGACCCATCTGTTAGTCATTAAGCAGATTAGTCATTAGAAAGGAGTTTGGTAGGTATGAGGGAGAAAGAGTGAGCAAGACAGAGGGAGTCAGCAGAGGTGAGAGGGCAGACACTGTGGGTTTCAGAGGTGGAGCAGCCCTCTAGGGGCAGTGGATGTAGGAGAAGGAATCGACCAATGTGGATTTAACTCCTGGCCATCATATAACTACCCATGGGGCCTTGGATGTGTTATTTAGCCATATTGAGCCATTTCACCTATAAAATGGGGAAAAGAATCCCCAGCATGGAGGGTTACTTTGAGTCTTAATGGTTTATACGTAGGGTCCTATTGGGATGCATATGATGATAAATAGCAGCCATTCATAGATTCTCAAATTTGGAGCTTTGTAGAAATTGGATGCCAAGAACTTAACTCAGTCCCACTGTTTCAGAAGAGTTATCTGTATGTGTGTGTGTGTGTGTGTGTGTGTGTCAGAGGTGAGACTCCAACATGTGTTTCTCAAAAGCTCCCCAGGTGATTCAGATGTACAGCTGTTGTTTAGAACCATGTGTTTAATCCAGACCACACTGGAATCCTCTCTAAAGATCTCTTGCTGTGGGACTGGCCAATTTGAAGGGCTCTGTGGTGAGATCACAGAGTCATGGGGCTAGGTTGCCTACCACTGGGCATCTACCTGAGTCTCTAAACCTTAGTCCTTAGAGACCAGGCTATTGATCTCTTGTCAACACATAAATTAATATTTTTGGTATGTAAAAAAAATTTGTAGTCCCAACTAAAGCCACCATGTCTTCCATTATTCTTGGTTATGTCCAAGATGAGGTCAACCTAGTTATCTTCTGTACTCTTATCCCTTTAGTACCTGTGCTTCTCCCCTAATCCAACTGTCTCTCACTGAGTTCCTTCCCAAACATCTCCAATGTGCTGCTTAGAATTCCAGCTTCAAGGTCCATAAACCTGCTTAAACCTATACCCTCAATCTCTTCACTGGTGCTCCATCTATTTCCTGTTGTAACTGAATCTTGGCTTAAACTAGAAGATGTTTTAGATGTCAACAATGACTGGGCAATCATATGAAACATTAACTGCCTGTTCTGTGTTCTGTTGGTTGCTCATCTACATACAAATATATTCATGTCTTGGAATGTTTTGGGTCAGTAAATGTCTAAAGATTTCATGCTGGGGAAACATGATAAGGGCCAAGGGGTCTTGTGTTTGGTAAACAATGAAAAGGGAACAAATCTCTGGGAGTGGACGAGGGACTTGAGAGGTTGACGGGGTTGAAAGATTTATGAAATGACCACCTCATTCTGATGTCATAACTGATTTTTTGAATCTGCATTGACCAGAGACTAACTCTTTAAAATTTCAGAGCCAGGTGACTGGGCAGGTGGGTTGAGCTGTTGTATCGAGGGTCTTACCATAATTTCAGACAATGGATGAAACCCTGCTCTGGGAGGCCTCCCTCAGGGAAATAACTCTGGGGGTCTGCAACAGATCATGCATCTGTATGGGACAGAGAAGAGTGCAATTCCCTTAGATCCACCAATTCTGTATCAGAAGCTCATTTAAGAGAAGCCACCTATTTCTAAGGCTAAGAATGGTTGATGAGTTGGAGACAGATTGTGTAATTTTTTCTATTTTGAATGCTTTATCTCAATAAATGTACTTATGTTTTAAAAACCTAGATATCAGAAGTTCTTAATTTTCTTGGCTTTCTACAGATGGGAGAGAAAACTCAAAATCAGAATGAATGCCAGTTTTTTTCTTTCTGTATTTAGGTATAACTGAAACTTTTGGTTACCTCTGGAATGATTATGACCATCTTATTTTGTATTTTATATTTATTAGGAGCTTTCTTGAACAAAATTGTATCTATGAGCTCCCCACTACTGCAAGAGAAATGTTGCATGTTTTATTTCTTCCCTCCACCTCCCTATTCAGATTTTGCTCTAATAATTTAGAATTTTATTTTCAAATTATTGTTTTTTTACATTGTTAGCTTTTAATTTTATTTTTTCAGTCAAGATATGCATGGATTTTTTTCCCCAATTGTAAAATATCTGAAAATGGCTTTCTTTTACTCTTATGTTAAGTAGCATTTGGCTGGGCCTAAAATGGTAATGTCCTTTTCCTATAAACACTTTCTCCATTAATTTGCTTTATAAAGGTCAAAGATTTTGTATATATATCATTTAATACTCACTGGGCAACAAAACTCCTTGCATTATAGTCTACTCAGGAGTTCATGGTCTGAAGGTGCATGGCAGAAAGTCTTAATATTTAAAAGAACCCTGAGATGGATTATTTCATTGACCAAGGAATTCTTTATAATATAAATAATCTCATACTTGGAAGACTTTTTAATGTATTCATGTATTCAATTTCATTAAAGTCAGACATACCTGTTTTCTCTACTTCTGAACAATCTTACTTTATCTACCTGCCCTTGGATTACTTGATGGGATTAGTGTTTTCTCTTTCCCCGTAGGAGTGGCCTCTATCATTACTAAATGTTTATTTCCACAATATGAATTATAGGGGTAGAACTCAGGGTCTTGCTGACTGCTGTGTTGCCTCCCGTTGCAGAGATCAGCTGTGGCCACCCTCCGGGGGTGCGGCATGCGGTCCTGGTGGGGAACCACAGCTCCAGCCTGGGCAGTGTGGCTCACTACGTCTGTCAAGAGGGCTTTGAGAGCACTGGAGGAAAGATCACTTCCGTCTGCACAGAGAAAGGCATCTGGAGAGAAAGTACTTCGACATGCACAGGTATAGATTTTCTTCTGCGGGGTTCCTGTTTTTAAGAGGTGAATGGCCAGCGGGAGCATGGGACTCAAAGCTGCCTCACTCTGTGCTGTGCCTGCCTGTGCCACTTACCTGGGTGGGCACCTGGCTGTAAGTTTGTCAGCTAAATCCTGAAAATTTAGAGGGCGGATAGGGAAAGTAAGTTGGATAGAAAGTAAGTTGTCATCTTTTGAAGCTCTCGTTAAATCACATTGACTCCTGTCTCCTCTGCTTGGCTGGCTGAGGAATTCTTCCCTGTGAACCAGTTTCTCAGGGGACCCTACTGAAAGTCCTAACTTAGCACATGTTGACAGCTTTTCAGCAAAAAGGTGGCGTGATGAGAAATAGGTGTTTAATGTATATGTTTATTTTCAATTGTGGTAAAATGCACACAACGTAAAATGTACCATCTTACCCATTTTTAAGTGTTAAGTTATCTTCACATTGTTGCGCGACCAATCTCCAGAACTTTTTCACCTTCTGAAATGGAAACTGTACCCATTAAACAATAACTCCCTGCTTCCCCCTCCCACGGCCCCTGGCACCACCATTCTACTTTCTGTTTCTATGAGTTGAACTAATTTAGTTACCTCATATAAGTGGGACCATGGACTATTTGTCCTTCTGTGACTGACTTATTTCACTTAGCGTAATGTACTCCAGGCTCATCCATGTTGTGGGAAATGGTGGGATTGCCCCCTTTTTTAAGGCTGAATAATATTCCAGTTATGTAAGTATTACACTGCGTTTATCCATCCCTCCACCTCTTAGCGACCGTGAATGGTGCTGTTATGCACACTGTTGTGCAAATACCCCTTTGAGACCCTTCTTTCAATTCTTTCAGGGATATACCCCCAAATAGAACTACTGGTGAATAGGAGCTTCGAGACTTCAGTTCAGATTCTAGCAGTGCCACGTATTAAGCTGTGTGTCATCTCTCTGGACCTCAGTTTCTCATCTCTAAAAGTGGGGAAGTAAAGTCTGCTTCCCTACTTCCAAAGAGTTATTGAGAGGGAATCAAATGAGATAATCTCTGGGGAGCATTTTGGAAAGTTTAAAGCACAGTGCACACGTTAGGTCTTTACTGAAGTTATTTGCCTTGCTGGAAAAGGATCTCGTGAATGAGAAATGTGCGCTTCCGTGTGCTTTATCTCAGACCTGTGCCTGCACGAAACAAGTTGGGAAAGGCAGTGATTCTCACCATTTGTGGTGGTTGGTCTGGGGGTGTGATGAATGGTTGAATGGCTCTGGGAATGTATTTCTAGGTGTTGACTTTCTTGGTTCCAAAGGCAGAGCTCGGAAGAGTGAAATCTCAAGGTAGCTTTCATCTGGGTCTCTGGTTTGACTTGCAGCAGAATTATGATAGAATGTCTTGGGTCTTACCAATCAAAGTTTTCCACAGGAAACTTTGGAAAGAAAAGCATGTGGACTGCCGGGGTTTTTTGTCCATAGCACAATAGTTCATAACCATTTTGGGGATAAGAATTTGATGAAATCCAGTACTTTTCTAGACACTGCCTTCTTGGAATTTACAGGGCAATTGGGTAAACAGACTTTTCTCTAAAGAAATGCACATACACACGTACATATAGTGTTTTACAAATGTAAGGTGTTTATGGATCTCTAGAAGCCCTTGGGTAAAACATTCCTGGTGTAGATGGAGAACTCAGCTCCATTGCTGAGGTCCTGTCTGTGGCCTGCAATTCTCACATTCAGTCATCTCTACCACAAACACAAGAGGATGCAGGCTAGAGACTGCAACCATAGAAACGACAAAGGGCAGGCATGGATAACAACCCAGAGATCTCTAGAGAGGGCTTATTGACTTGCCCAACCTGCATAGAAAAGCAAAGACAAACCTGCTACTAACAACAAGGATTCCAGTTTCCCAGTCTTAATAACTGGGGAAATCGAGAAGAGCTAATGCCGTACTGGGCCAGACTGACAGTCATTCCACCCTATTATGCATCTCTAACAGCACCTCTAAGAGTTATTTGGAGAGAGTGAGGCAGCTGCCTCATGGGAGGCAGACTTCAACATTTGGGGCTGCGTTCCTGGCCCAGCGCTCTCTGTGAAGTTGCTTGGTAAGAGCTGGGCACAGCTTCTGGACCCAGCCATTTGCTTTATTGCTCAAGCTGCTCTGCGTCTACCATTCAGAATTCAATGGGGTACATAGATTAGTCTCTACGTGAAAAACCAGTGGATCTGCATGGGGCATAGTAAGCTATTAATTAGCTGATGCTTGTAGAGCACTTTGAAGAACAAACATGTTATGTAACTGCTAATTTTAATTACCTCCTCAGCCTGCCACCTTCCACAGTGTCTGTGGCTCCAGCTGCAGCTGTTTCCATGGGGTTATGCAAGCTTTGATTTAAGGAGAGAAAAGGCATTCTCCCTGAGAGCTGTTATATTTCTGTGAGGAGGCCTCTAGCCCTCAATCAGGATTGGCAGCTAAATTCAATTTCCGCAGATTAAGGGGGTGATTTACATGCTGATCAATTCATAGTGCCCTGCACAGGATCACCAGGTGGGTAGGTGGCTTCTGGAAATGGAGTGAAAGATGCTGATTCCCGTAGCTCTTGCTCAGCTGCCCCCCTTCTTTTTTCCTTTTGCTTGGTTTTCACCCATTTCTTCACACCTTACCTTCTGGCCCAGCTCCCTCTGTGTATTTGGTGTTTACCCTCCTCGATGTTCACTTTGGGACTTATCCCCCATCATCGACTTTTGTGCCTAACCTCTGAATACCTTCGGCCTGTGTTCTCTTTTCATTCCATCTGCTCCTTTTTATATTTGAATGTTTAGTTCCAAATTGGGTGGTATAATCTATCTTCATTTTACCTGGGTTGCTTTTACTTAAAAATATTTTCGGAGCTTTATTTGTCTGGATCAGTAGTGTGCATCTGTACATGTTTTTAATGGAGCGTGAACTCCAGCAAGGTGGCGGGACTTTTTTTTTAGAGGCCGGTTTGGACTGGAAACTCCAGACAGCTGAGAATTAGGTAACTGCTTTAGCGTCTGGAAAAACCCCAGGTGGAAGCTTGGTGTTCAGTGGATTGGTCTCCCTTGAGATCAAAGAGGTTGATTCATTCTTGATAAGACTGTGTCCCTGCCTTTCAGTCTGCACAGGTCATTTCGCTTTTTATGTTTAGAATCTGAGTTAATAATTATAAGGTGGATGCTCTCTCCTTCCATGCTCTCAGAAAGGTAATAATATCTCTATTGGAACACAGACTGTTTATCTGCTGGGATCTTTTCTGAGCCCCCTAACCTGCACTGAGTCCAACTGCCTCCAGGCCTTCTGGTGGCCTCTGCTCTGTGTCTTTTTGTTGACCCTCCACTTTAACCTAGTGATGCTCACTTTCAGCTCTATACATTTCTGATGGAAAAGAAAGGTCATCCGGAATAAATGGACTCATTTATATAAATAGCCACACAGCCAGGATTTGTTTGAATATGTGTATAGTGTTCAGACTGTCAAGTGTTATAGCCACCATAGATTCCATACCAAAAGGCCCAGAGCTCTGCTAGAGGCCTTACTGCTTGATTTCATTTTTGTCCTTAGAAAAACCCTGTGCAATTAAGTATTGTTATTTTCATTTCATAGATGAGTAATCTGAGGCTCATGAAAGTTAAACAGCTTTCACAGGGTCATTTAGGAACTAGCAAATGGCAGAGTTAGGATTTGAACTCAGGTCTGGTAGCCTCAAAAGCCCATGGTCTCTCTCCTATGCCAGTGTTTTCCAAGCTTGAATTGTTTCTATGCCACCCTGACAATGTTTGCTATAACAAAAGTATTATTTGTTTAATAGTTTGCTTAAAGCAATTAATATTTAAAACTTAAATTTATAATTTAAATGTGTTGATCAAGGATATTTTGTAATATATGTGATATCATGAGTTTGAAGTAGGTGTATTTTTTTCTAATATACACAAAAATTAATACAAAGCAAATATAATACTTTATGTAAATACAACCAAAAATCATCCTAAAGTATATAATGCATTTTAGGAAATCACTACTCTAAGCCATGCTAGTCCTACTTATTTTCTGTGGCTGTAAAGACTTTAAAAAAGAAAAAAATGTAAACATAGAAGAACTCATCATTTAATTTATTTAAACATGTGCTTATTCAAAGTAGTCACCTTGGGAAGCCATTGCCTCATTTCTATGATGCTGCCATTATCAAAATCTGTCTGTTTTATAATCCCTGTTTGGGAATTGCCTTTGGAGGTAGTGTATGAGCAATATTAGAAGATCAGTCATATTACCTTTGAAATTATATACTGTTTTCAACTAGAGATGACATTGAGCTTGACACCTTGTTTGGGTCACCTGAATACAGAAAATGGATATAAAGTTGGAAACCAAGAGAGTACACTAAATTAGTCCCTGTCCACAGTGGGACTTCTGAAAGAGTAGTTTATGTTCGCCATCTCTGTCCCCTCCCACCCTGTTCTCTTCTCAACTTCCAGGAGGAGAATCAGGCACCCAGTACTCCCGCTTCACTGTAGCTTCCCCACCAAAGTCACGAATGACCACCCACCTGCCAAATTCATGTTCTAGTTTCAGCCCTCATTCCTCTTCACCTTCTACAACATTCACCATTGCTGATCATCCATCCATTCAACCAAATAATAAATATATATATATATTTTAAATATATCTTTATTGATTTCAGAGAGAGGAAAGGAGAGGGAAAGACAGATAGAAACATCAATGATGAGAGAGTCATTGATTGAGCCCGCAACCCGGGCATGTGCCCTGACTGGGAATTGAACCCCGATCGCCTGGATCCTAGGTCAACGCTCAACCGCTGAGCCATGCCTGGCCGGGCTAAATAATAAATATTTTTAAAATATCTATATCCAAGGCACTGTACTATATACTAGGTTCTGTGCATAGAGATAAACCTGGTGTTTGCCATCAAAGAGCTTATATTAAGGAAAGATAGGCATTAAATTACTAATTGCAAAATTATTTGGTTACAAATGTGATAAGTAACCCAGAGAAATACTGGGTGCTAATAGAATACTAAAATACGTAACTTTATATACATATATACATTTATGTACACACACACACACCACATACAGAGTCTAAAGCAAAGTAAAGGTACTTTATTACCCACCGAGGCTTTGGTTCCCCAAGTCCAGTGCAGAGTTCAGTTAGACACTGTGGGACCTTCTTTTTTTTGTTTTGTTTTCTTTTAAGCCAGAGATGCCTACAACTGGAGAAGCCAAAGGCCTGCTCTCCCTCCCTCTACCTAAGCCAAACCTCAGATCTAATCTGGACACTGTGGGCACTCCATCAGAGGAGAGAGAGCCATATGAGAGAAGAGAGGGAACATGTTCCTGAGACAAGGACTTATGTTCTGTCATCATCACAGCCCAGTGCCTCGCCCGGGAAGATTCTTGGCATTCAGTAGACATCCAGTTAATGATGAATAAAGAGCTCTGCACTAAGTGCCAGAGAGAACTGCCAGACATGTTTTCACATATTGGCATTAGAATTAAGGCATAGCCTCCCAAGTCATCTCTTTTATTTTAAAAAAAAATTTTAAATATATATTTTTATTGATTTCAGAGAGGGAGGAAGGGAGAGGGAGATAGAAATATCAATGATGATAGTGAAACATTGATCGGCTGCCTCCTGTACACCCCCCACTGGGGATCGAGTCCCCAGCCCAGGCATGTGCCCTGTCCAGGAATCAAACCACGATCTCCTGGATCCTAGGTCGATGTTCAACCACTGAGCTATGCTAGCCGGGCCCAAGTCATCTCTTTTAAAAGGGCAGCATTAATGTGGATGTCTAGCATCTGATATGTTTATAAAGATGTCTTTCCAGCTGATGTGTAGGCACCTGAAAGGAAAAGCAACCAAACTTTGTTAACCACTCCTTGGGATGAAATATCTGACACCCTATTTTCAGATCTGGGTCCCATCTGTGCAGAGAGCATGGCACAGGCTGGAGGCAGATGGGCATCTTTCGAGATGCCATTTGCAGTTGTCATAGTGAATGAGCAGGAAGGAAGAACAAAAAAAGGAAACTTCTGTGTCTCTAATCTCTGCATGGGTGGCAAAGGGGTCCCGAGTGAGAAGGAAATTTGTGTTACTGGCAACTCAGAGGGAAGGTGAAGGGTGGGATGTTTCCTTTTCCTTCCGGTCCAGGTAGTGAGCTGGTATCAGAGGGATGTGTGCGTGAGCATAGGAGTCCAGAGCTCTAGGGCTTTGAAGGGTGCTGGAGAGGGAAGGGGCCAGGAATGTTTGGGCTTCTCTGAGCTGGTAATGGACTGGTGCCAACATCATCTTTATGCTACCCAGGAGACTGAATGGATGGGATCTTTGATCTCTCAGGGTACCCATGTCCACAACTGGAGTATTTCTTTGATTTCAAATTCTCTGTGCTCTGGGGAGAAGTATTGATGTAGAGACTCAGGAATGCTTTATGACGGCCATAGGTGATCCCCTAGTGTCTCTCCATGAGTCCGACTGTTTTCCTCGCTTTGTCTCCATTTGTTCTCAGTTGCCTATAGCTGACCTGGGCTTACCCAAGACTAGGTAATGCGGGACATAGAATCTCCATAATGCTGCTGATGGAATGCTTGAGTAAAGATGTAAAATCTTCTGTGGGCAAGGAGGTCAGTAGACCAGGGTTTATCTAAAGGTGGCACTGGTTCTGAGTAGAGGAGAAATGAGTCAACCCTACAAGTGCCTAAGATGTGGGCTCCTTTTCCCACTTGGAGACTGAGAAGAGATTTACTAGAAGGGAGGGACAGGAGCTGAGTTGAGGAGAGCTATTTTTCTTTTTTTAATTAAAAATTTTTTTCAATTACAGTTTACATTCAATATTGTTTTGTATTAGTTTCAGGTGCACAACATAGTGAGATGGAGAATTGTCTTTCTCTTCTTGATGGGAGTCTTTCCTTGGGTTTTCCAGAAAAGAGCCTGAGGCAGAGGGCTTGTATTCACTGTACAGTAGGGTCTGATGTCTCAGAGAGCAGGGGTGGGGGTGAAGGTGACGAAACAGGGAAGGAGGAAGGGCCAATCAAGGATACCTCGCTGCATTGGGTCCACCAAGTGCAAGTGATTGCTCCATATGTGCATCAGCACCCTGAGAAGTCTTTGTAGGACTCCCCATCAGGGAAAAGAAAGAGGGGAAGATTTATCCACTGTTTTCCATCCCCATAGGGTGTTAATTCCCTTGCGCTTCCAGGTGCCATGTGCTTGGGTGTGGGTACCCCAGCAGGGAAGCCCCAGAATGGGAGACAAGACACAGCTATACTGTCAAAGCCCGTGTAGGGATGGAACAGGGAGCAGGTGAGGCTGGGAGATTCTGAAGGCTCCATAAGAGATTCCGATTCAGGGGGAGAGCCTGAATTTGGGCTGTGGAATACTCCTGTTTGGTGAAATGAGGATTCCTTCCTCTAGGGATGACAGTATAGGAGCTTCAATCTGTAGGGAATTTTATTCCTTTTGATGCTATTGTAAATAAAATTGTTTTCTTGATTTTATTTTTGGATTGTTCCTTGCTAGTGTACAGAAATACAATGGATTTTTTGTACATGGACCCTGTGTCCTGCAACCTTGCTGAATTCCATTCTTAGCTCTGTTTATTTTTGTGTGTGTGTTGCTGTGTTGTTTTTTTTTATAGACAAGATTATGTCATCTATTAATAGAGATAGTTTTACTTACCTGTAGGGAGTTTGATTTTAAATAGGTAAAAAGCTAGACCCTCTTCCCATCTGAACAACTTCGTAGGTGGTTAACTGGGGCCACTGGAAACTGTGTTACCTCAGGGAACCAAGACCCTAATATGGTTTCCCTCATTGCCAAATTCATTACATGAAATACATGCAAAATATTAAAAACAAACAACAACTCAAAGAAATTAGTGGCTTCCTGATAGATCAGGATTAAATAGCTTCGGCTCAAGGAGTCCCAGAAGTATCCAGGGACCTTGTGAGAATTCGTTAAGTTTACCCCAACCTGCTCCTGAGGAACGGTCCTGAGTGGCGATGCATGTCGCTTCCCTCTTGGGAACAGCAGTGACCTGGAAATAAGAGTGCCCCCATCAGCCCCCGTGGCATGAAGGAGCCAGAAGCAGATCTTACCTGTGCAGCTGCAGGGGAGATTCAGGACACAGCTCTGGGCCTTTCACCATCGCACATGAGTAGAACACCAGTGGCATCCAGTGGCCTGTCGGACCAACCACAGGTTGGAATTCTTCTACTCACCCAAGCAGGAATCTTTCTTCTTCCTCCAAGTAGAGTCATGGTCCAGGCTCATTCATGATGAAGATAAATGGGGTGATTGGCCTGGGGTGGCTCGACTTGCCTGATTTGATTTCTGAATCAGAGCATGAATGGTGAGCAACGGAGATATTAGCTGGGCGGGTAAACTAAGTCATGCCCCCCAGTGTGGTTACCGTTAGAGTTTTTCCAAAGCCCGCCGGTGCCTTTTGTGAGTGGACTGTCTCTTTTTCTGTTTTAGAAATCATTACAGAAATTAATGATGTATCGGTGTTTAATGACACTTGTGTGAGGTGGAAAATAAACCCAGGAAGAATTAACCCCAGGATGGTATATGTGGTAAGTAAAGTGATCTACTTTTTCCTGGCAGGGCAGAAATGGGAACCGATGGGAACATGAGGCGAGGGGCCTGCTTCCAGAAGAGCTTCTGCACCGGTCTGTTTTCCAATCCCACCATCCTTTAAAAAAGCGCATAGAATGTGTTAGATATCTGGATTATTTTATTTTACATTTTGTGTTTAATGTATTTGTCGTTTGACAGGGTGTATGTGTGGGGATGTGTTTATAGTTGGTATCAAAGCTTTTTTCCAAGCACTCGTATGTCACTCCCCCAGAGTCCGCCTAGGCGTGTCTGCTGACTCGGTGACAGGATGGAGCAAGCGAGCGGGTCTCGGGTTGTGACTGTCTCCATTGATCGCTGGTCATTTGTGTGTGGGGTTGCACTCCCTAGAGGGACTCCTGATTTTATATCACTTCTTAGGGTTTATTGATTACTGGGCTGATCAGACTTCATCATCAGATACCTGATAGCAGAGGTTTGCTTTATTTATCTCCCCCAGGTGAATAGCGCAGTGTAAAAGGGAACAGTAGGAGAAGAGCATCCAGCACCACAAAGCCTCTCTTGGTTGTTTTAACTGGAGTCATGGTGGGTTCTCTTGTCTTTTTCCCTCGCAAAGATACACGTACAAGGACACCGGGTGGACCCTGTGGAATCAGTTCACGAGGAGACAGTCAACCTGACCACAGACAGCAGGACCCCAGAAGTGTGCCTAGACCTGCACCACGGCACCAACTACACCGTGAGCATCGCCACTGCGCCTCCCATTCGCTCCGTGCCAGCCATCATTGGGTTCCAGACAGCAGGTAGGTGGACGTGAAGTCTCATTTCCTCCTAGAAAATGCTACGCACGGGATGTGGGGCAAATATGCTTCAGAATCAAGTGGGCAGGAGAGCTCATTGCTGCTTTCTGAGATCTGTAGCCAGGAGGATGTCTAGTAGCAGAGATTCCTATCCTGCTATCGTGCCAATGCCGGGCTGAATGTACATCTCTCAGCTGGGGCGTCAGGTTGAAGCGGGAGGTAGTGAGAAGGCCTGGAAAAGAGGCCCGCATGAAGAGATGATGCGGTCAGGGCTCAGTTACCCAAGGCAGCAGAGGGGAGCCACATGACTTGTCTTTGGTAGGAAACACAGAAGTCATTTCTTAGTCTTGCCTATGAGAAAAAAAGCCAGGGCCACTGACCCAGTAGCTTTACATCTGGAATGGGAATTGACCCCAGGACTGATCGGAGCTGGGTAATCACACTGATAGTGGGGGAGTGGATAGGGGTAGGCAGTCCCGGGATGCAGGAGAGTAAATGTTGGGTGCAGAGAGAAATTGGCAGGAAGGAGCTTTGAGAAGGAGCAGTGAACCTCATTGCACATAGTTATCACATGGATTTTTATAATAGCATTGTGACAATTATAATAACTTTTTAAAAATAATTCTGGTTATAGTGTGTTAGAACTAATTAAATAGTTTATAAGCAAAACTTGAGAGGCCATTGGGGCCATTTTTTATTTTGGGGGAGTTGAGATAGTTCTCACTTAAGAAAATGTACCTCAACCTTCAGCTTTGGTGCCACTAGGAACGAGAAGTGACACAGATTTGGTAGAAATAATAAAAAAGACTGCCAGTCTTAACAATATAAAGCCAACTACAAAATTATACAAATGAGGTCCCTGGCTACTGATTTCTTTCTAAGTAAATAATACATAGGGAAAGATATTACAAAATTAGTATGGTAACTAATTAGAGAAGCTTGTACAAAATTAATAATAAACTGCTATGGATTTATTAGGAAGATGTCTTTTTTAGAAGATCACCCCAGGACTTCAAACTCATGTTTTACTGTTTGGTCAGAATGACAGTTTGCTGTTCAGAGTCAGCTGTTTTTGCTAATATCTCATTACTTCTTCAAGTTAGTTTCCACTGGGAAAGCATGGCCTTTGGGGTCAGACAGACCTGGTTTGCAGCTTAACCCTGCTGTGAAGAGGTGGGTGACCATGGCTGAGATGTTTAGTGTCTCCAGACTGCTTTATTCCATCTGAAATTTTAAGTGGAACTGGATTAAATTTGCAAATTAGTCTAGTGAGAATTGGGATTTAGATTGAGTCATCCCAATGGGAAACAGGTACATTTCCACATTTACTTACTGTCTACTTAGGTTTTGTCTTCCCTGTTTATTTGTGCACGTTTGTAAATGTTTATCATTTTTTCCCTCTAGATCCTGCATTATTTAACTGTTGATTTCATTTTCGGGTTTTGCTAGTTCTCTTAAAATAAATTGGGAAGTTTTTCATATTTTTTATGCTCTGGAAAAACTTATATAATTCTTGAATTATTTCCTTCCTTTGAAGTTGGACACATTTGCTCATAGGATCATTTAAGTCTCACCCCTTTTGGGAGAGAATTCTTTGATAACTTTGTCAATTTCTTCTATGATTCTTTTTTTTTTTTGGTTTGTTTATGTTTCTTACCTTTTCTTGAGTCGATTTTTATAATTTATTGTTTTCCTTAAAAAGTGTCTGTTTTATTGAAGTTTAAAATAGATTGGCTGAAGGTCATATGGAATATTTGTTTACAACTACTCTGGGGCTACAGGTTATTTAACCCCAGGTTATTCTTAATTTTGTTGTTCTCTCTCTTTTTTAAAATATGTTTTAATTGATTTCAGAGAGAGGAAGGGAGAGGGGGAGATAGAAACATCAATGATGAGAGAGTTGTCATTGATGGGCTGTCTCCTGCACGCCCCCTGCTGGGGACCGAGCCTGAACCCCAGGCATGTGCCCTGACTGGGAATCAAACCACCGTCTCCTGGATCCTAGACTGATGCTCAACTGCGGAGCCACGCCCGGCTGGGCTGTTCTCTCTTTTTAAAAATTGATTAGTTTAGCTTGGATTGTCTGTTTTACTACTGTTCTTTTCCCCAAAGAATAAACTCTTGGGTTTTTTTAATTGTTTTTCTTTTTTCTACCTCATTAATTTCTCCCCTATTTTTTATTATTTTATTTTTCCTGCTTCTCTTAAATTGGTTATATTGTTCTAGTACTAAAGTCATGAGCTGAGTGCACAATTCAACTTATTTCCATTCTTTCCTGTTTGATAATAAAAGTCTTTAATGTTCCCCTCTCCCATCTGAATTTGAGCTTTGGCAGAATTCCTTAGGTATGGATGGATATCTGTTCTCTTTTAAGGCAGAATATAATTGCTACTCTGGGTTTCCCTTTGATTGAAGGATTGTTTATGAATGTGCTAATGTGTGTTCTCTTTATCCTTACTTTCAAAGCATTATATAATTGCTATTTTGATTTCTCTGATTGATTGAAGGATTAGTTATGTATTATACAAGTGGTACTTTTTTTTTTACGACATCTACCCTTTATTGTTATTTCTTGTTTAATTACATTTTGGTATTCTTTGAGTGGATTTATTGACATTTTGAGGGGGCTAACTCTTGGCCAAGTTTTGTAATTTTGGCCAATGTTGTAATTTTGTCGTTGGTGCTGGATAGTAGAGTATTTGCTTGTAGGTAGAGCAGATCTAGTCCTCAATTAACTCTATTAATAAGGTTTTCCAGGACTTCTGTTTCTTTAAAAAAAAATTTGTGGTTTTTTTTTGCTTGCTTGCTTGGCTTGCCATTTTTCTCAGTGTCTCTTAGAAATTCTAATTGTTTTGTTTCACACCTTTTTTGTTCATGACTGATATCTTAATGGTAGATTCTAACTTTGACTAGTAACAAATGGCTCCCTTTATCCTGTTTATTATTGTTTGCCTTGAATTATATGTTGATTAGTAACATTGTATTTCTTGATTTCTTTGTGCTTCTGTTTGTTCTCCTTAAAAGCCATCTGGATAACATTGTTAGAGATGTTTGCTAGGAGACTGCATATGTTGAGAAACCTTTTTGAGACAAGTGTGTTTTTTTGTAGGTAAGTTAAGCAATTTATGCCAGTGTTGTTTGTGATACAATTTTCCTTTCTTCCGTCATTTTACTTTACCTTTTTTTAAATGCTACTTTGTTGTGTCCATTGTTTTCTTTTTGCTGCACAGTTTCATTTTCAATGGTTCAGACAATATAGATTTTGCTTTTATTCTACAATACACATTAAAAAACAAAACCAAGCCTGCTTGAATATGTATTCCTCTGATTACCAGCATTACGACAGAAATAATGCTAACTTCTCCCTGAATAAGATGTAGAAATTAGTATTCTTTACTTCCTCTTCTCTCTTCCCCTCTCGCTTCCCTTATGTTACTGTTTTAACAAGACATTTTATTTCCAGCTCATTTCTAATTTTTTTTAACACGTATTACATCTTTAAAGAGTTCATTTTTATATTGATTTATACCAATATTTGTAACAATTATTTAAACAGGTATATGTTTTAACAGTCTCCATGTTTACAGCATTCTCAAGTTTCATACCGGAAGTTTCTCTGTTTTATCTCTTTGCACAGTTGTCTCTGTCTTCTGATCCCCAAGGAATGGGGAACTTTCTGAGCCCATGATTATCTGAGAATGCCTTTTTGTTGAATGAGAGCGAGCTTGCCTGAAGATGAAATTCTTGGGCCATGACCATTGTTGTCAGAATTCTGGAAACATTTCACATTGGCTTTGAGAATCGAAAGTTTTGAAAGAGGAGTTGGAAGAAGGTGTGATCTTAAAAAATCCTATGTAAATAATCTGATTTTTCAGCCTGGATATCATAGAGGCTTTCTTTATGTGTGAAATTCAAGACTTTAATCACTTATTCATACACACGGGAAATGTTTATGGACCGCCTGCTACACATTTGACGTTGTTTTAGGCATTGGGAGTTCACTAGTGAAGGAGACAGAGATCCATTTTCTCAGGAAACTTCAGTTGCAACTGATAGAAATGTTAATTTTTTTAAAAAAGAAGTTTTCTTAGTACCCTGTGAGTTTTTTGGATCTTTAGAATTTACTCTGTCTACACATTAGGAACATTTTCTTTCATTAAAGCTCTGATTGTTGCTTTTAAAAATTTATTTTATTTGTTCTTTCGGCTCTTCAGATACTCCTCAGTGGAATTTCTTGTCTGTCTGCATTGGCCTTTCATTTTCTCTTGTCTTATGTCCATGTCTTTTCCTCCGTACCCTATGAGGACATCATTGTCCTCTGAATGCATTCATGCACATGTGCAGGGACAGTCCTGATCGCTGTTGTTTCTAATGCCCTTCAAAATCAGTTGTTGCACTTCCATTTCCTTTTGTTTCTTTGTCTCATCCAGTTTCCGTTTTATTTCTGCCTCTCTCAACCAGTGTCCTCTCTGCTATTGTGTTCTGTTCTTATCTCATCCTCAATCTGTTTGAATCCATCTTTACATTTTTTTACTGAAAGTATATAACACATGTTGCCTAATTTTGCTATTATTTTGCTCAATATTTTTCACCCCCAAATTATGTTCATCTCTTTGCCTCCTCGATCTCCCTTTGTTCTTTGTAGAACCATTTTATAGTCTTTACCCTCCTTCTGAACTACTTATTCTTGGAAGATAAAAGTTTCATTTAAGTGTGATATGTTTTTCATAATAAAATGGATGCCATTGTGTTGGCTGGTGTGGCTCAGTGGGTTGAGCATCATCGAGTGCACCAAAGGGTTGCCAGTTAGATTCCTGGTCAGGGCTCATGCCCCCGCTTTGGGCTTGATCCCTGGTAGGGGGCATGCAGGAGGCAACTGGTCCATGTTTCACTCTTGCATGGATGTTTCTCTCTCTCTCCGTCTCCCTTCCTCTCTCTCTCTAAAAACGAATAAAAATATATTTGGAAAGTGGATGCCATTACTTTTGATCTTACTTTTTATTGGATAATATTAGTATGCTTATCTCAGATCTCATCTTGAAGGCTTTACTGAAAGTTGGATGATCTAGTGTCCCATGGGGAGCAGCTATGAGAGAGCCCACTGCCCTGAGCTTTATTTCTGAGCACTTTGCTGTCTTGATTGGTGATATTGTCACCCTTAGGCCAGTTCAGCATTGATTGGCTTCATTCTGATGTTATAGCTTACGAAGCCAGTAAAGAACCAAGTCTCTGCTTTTGCCAACCCAGGCTGATGGAACCTCCAGGTCCCTATCCTCCCCTTAGAAGGTCCCCAGTGTGCTAAAGAGGGACCAGTAATAGCAGCAGTCGTAGTAGTAATAGTAGTACCTATACTTTTTACCCTGGCTGCCTTTCAGATTGCTTAGTGAATTAAAAAATATACATACAGATGTTCAAGCTTTGCTTTAGCTCTGCTATGTCTGGGTGATTCTGATGTGCAGCTAGGATTGGGAACCACTGGGATAAATGGCTGCAGGTGGGGTAGTCATCACTTTTTTGTCCTGTGGCCTGTCCTTGCTTCCAGCCCCACCTCTGTGGACACCCGTACTCCTCCAGTTCCATCCTGTGAAACTTCCAGACCATGCTCCTTTGCTCGGAAGGCAGGTAGCACAGTAGCTCTCAGGGTCATTCTTTCTCTCCTGCTCCCTTCTACACTGCGCTAAGCTGGAATGTCTTCATGTTTCTGCCTTGTGCATGGCAACCGACCCTTCTTCCCAACCCAGATGCAAATTCTGACCCATTTTTACTATTCTCAGTCACTTCTTTCTGGAATGGGGGTGGGAAGTGGGAACCAGATGCCTTAATTCATGTTGCCACCATCCCCCGAATTCAGCTTATAATGGCCATAAGTGGGGAAATCATATGGAGATGGGAACCACGAGACAGTAGTTCTGCCCTATGTTCTGTTTGTGTACAAATTCCACGTGTGGTTTTTCCTTAATGCATATATTGAATGTACCTCGAAATCATTTGCATGCATGTGGCAGTTTTTGTTTCTGTTGTCCTAGGGACATCTTTAAAATGAAAGTTGTGAAGCTAAAGGAGAGCAGGTGTAACAGGCCTTCAGATTCTCTTTCATAACCATAGTTTCACATTTCCAATTATAGCCGAGAATATTTTCTCCCAGCTAATTGCCTTGTGCTGCATATGTCCGTGATGGTTACAATCCTGTGGGTAGTTCTGATTTTGAGTAGAATAATTTGTTATCATTATTACTTCTTAGGTAGCAGAGACCCCTGTGGGAGAAATAGACATAGAAGGTAGTTATAAAAAGCTTCCCTCTGATAGACATTTAAACTTTTTCTCATTTGGAGAAAACATGCAGCCTTGTTTGCTAGGAAATTTGCTTTTCCTTGAAAATTAGCCATGGCACTCCTAGACTCTCTGTGAGTTCTTTATTCCTACTAACAAACCTCTTCTTTTTTACTACATTAAGAAAATGGAGCATTGATGGAGTGAATTAGGCTATAGGAGGCATGAAATTACTTTTTTCTCTACAGCAGTTGAAATAAATCTGCTTCTGATTATTTTTCTGCCTTAGTACTCATCTGAGTGGCTCTCCTGGATACTGTCTGCTATGAGAACAAACATCTCGCCTGGTCACCTACTTTCTGGTCATTTTCTAGGTTGGAAACACTTGCTCTGAGGGTTCTACTCCATGGCCTCTGCCTTTATTCACCTTTTTCCTATTTCCATTTTTTTCTGGCTGTCTGTATGCTTGTAACAGCGAATTTTACTTATGGACTATCCAAGTGATGGGATTAACTTTCTAAAAATATCACAGCTTTATTAGTTTACAGCAATTTTTAAAAATGCATTATTTCATTTGATATTCTCAACTGCCTCTGTTGTAAAAAAAAAAAAAAAAAAAAAAAGGAAAAAAGGGCAAACTGGGGAACTGAGGTTCAGAGAGGTTAAGCAACTTAGCTAAGGTCATGCAATTAAGAGGCTGTAGAGCCAGGACTTGAAGCCAAATGTCATGCTCTTGCTGTTCAACAACCTATTGGCTCTCTTAAGACGTCCAAGTTTCAATATTAATTCACTGTGATGTGTTTGGCTAAAATGGTGCAACCTTTCCGTATGTTCTCTCTTATCTTTTAGAAGATGATCTCTTAGAAGATGATGGGATTTTCAATATCTCAGTATTTAATGAAGTATGTTTGAAATTGAACCGGCATTCTAGGAAAGCTGGATCAGAACAAATGTACCAAGTAAGAGGATCTCTTATATTATTTATTAAAGAATTGGGTCACTTAAAAACTTGGGTGCTCTCCAAGTGAGGATTCAGAGTATTTAAAATCACTCATGAAATGAACTTCTAGGCAGTTTGATTTTTGTTTCTGGCACTGGATATGAGGTATGAGATGTGAGATGGATGCAAGTGAGGGACTAAACTGAAGGAAGACACTATATTTGGTGACTTGCTATCATTCTCCCTGTCTGGTATATTACATGTATTATAATTTAATTTAGTGCATTTAATAATTGCCACTTTTTCTGTTATTAAATTCACACTTGGATGTGGGTTTTTAAGAAGCTTGTAACATGGCTATTGGTCCTCATTTAACTTGACTTTTTAAACATCACAAATCTCAAGAAAAGTGATGAGAAAGTTTAGGCAGGGAACTGAGATTTGTTATTTTTGTGTCATATTTTCGATGCCTCGAAAATTGTCTGGCAGAGAGTAGACTGAGTATGCATTAAATTAAAATTAAGTAACTAATAAATCATTTATCAGAAGTATATCACATGTTAGGACCTAGAAGTTCCGATTCAAACTAATATAATTATACAGCGAAACAGACCATTTCAATATGGTATAATGAGTGCTTTGATTAAAAGTAAATAAATGGAATGGGATATTCTGTGTCTGGATGTGTGTCCAGGTACAGTTTTTTTTAAAACAAGAGGTAAAGATGGTGTTGGATCATAGAGAAAGACCAGGAATTAACCAGATAAAAGAGGTGGGTGAGGGTGAAGTAGGGCACAGCGGGCAAGGAAGTAGCCAGTTAAGTAAGAGCCAACGTGACTCTCTTGGGGACCAGAGAAAGCAAAGGGAAGTGGGAAGAGATGGGGCAAAAACTGAAGCAGTGGCCAGACCATGAAAAGCCCTGTATCGTGTGCTTTAGAGTTTTGATCTTATTTTGATTCCTTTGTGGAGGCACCGAAGGATTTTAAGCAGGTGAGTGAAATATTCAATTTTTCATACTAGACAGGACACTGGGCCTAGAAACATATTCAAGTACCCAAATGATTTAATATATGATAAAAATTATTTTTCAAATGAGTACAGAAATAAATGGTTCTGAGACAATTGGTTAACCACTTGGTTAAGAAAAGAAATGATTTAAATAGAAGTATACACCCTAAGGCCCAGAAATTTACTTTTTAGTATATACCCTAGAGAAATTTTTGCACTTGTACTTAGGGAGATATATAATTGGATTTTTATTACATCATTGCTTATAATAATAAAATATTGAAAATAACTTAAATGCTCATCAGTTGGAAAACAGATAATTGGGATATTTGGTTGGACCATATGAAATTACTGCTATTCAGCCATTTTGATATGATTCAACCTAATACATTTATAAAACTGAATATTATATAGAAGCTAAAAATGAATAAACTAGGTCAATACATTTGGGCAAAAATCAGTTTCCTTAAGATAGAGCATCTACACATGGCAATAACTAAAAGGGTCTTAAATTCAGAACTTTTTTGAATGTGACAGAAGTGTTTATTGAGAATCATATGCTTTCATGCTCATACTGAAAGTGGTGTTTCCCAAAAGGAAACCACAGTGCTGTTGGGACAAGGGAAGGGACCCTGGGCAGCCAGAAATTACAAATGTCCACTTTACCATCCTAGTTTCTTACTCTTATTTCAGTTTATCTCTTACTGACTAGATGATCCAGCATTAATCTCAAAAGTAAATCATTTTATGCACAAGACCAATAAATCTCCAGAGCTAAAACAAAAAATAGATATTATTAATAGAAAATTTTATTCCAACATTGTCCACTCATTTCTTAAAAATTCTCATGTAGCCCAGCCGGGCGTGGCTCAGTGGTTGAGCATTGACATAGGATCCAGGAGATCGAAGTTCGATTCCCCGTCAGGTACATGCCTGGGCTTCGGGCTCGATCCCCAGCAGGGGGCATGCAGGAAGCAGTTGATCAATGACTCTCTCATCATTGATGTTTCTATCTCTCTCTCTCCCTCTCCCTTCCTCTCTCTGAAATCAATAAAAATATTTTTTAAAATATATTTTAAAAATTCTCATGTATATAATATGAACATTAAACTTGTCTTATGTAAAAATAAGAAAATAAATGATTTTTTTACTCCTACACTAAAATTATTAAAGAGTTACATTGGAAAAAATGCTTTTGTATACAAAATTCCTTTTGTATAACGAATAAAGCATTATAAAGAGAAAAATTGCTCTTGTTAATATGTTAGACAAAGAATAACTTAAGTCACATGTGAAACACTCTTAACAAATCCAGCAAAAACTGAACGTTCAAAGGCAGTTTGCAAAAGAGAATATACATATTACTAAAACATATATGAACACATTATGTCTCACTAGTAAGCAAAAAAGAAAAGAAAATTAAACCATGAGATATCGTGATTCTTCTATAAACTTGGAGAGAGTACGTTACACACAGCTGTTGGACACTAATGGACACGGCTTTTCTGGCAGTTATTTGTTATTTGTTAGTATCTATCAATAAACTTTTAGAAGGGTGTCATAATGAATTGTTTAGACATATAGAGAAAAATTAAAATGTTCCCTGAATCATTATTTATAATAGAGGAAATTGGAAACAAATGTTCATCAATGTTAAATAATCATGCCTTCATCTGATGCAACACTGTCATACCTGCGACATGAGTGGGTAACGGATCGAGTGTGAGCAGTTAGCAGTGCCTGTGATGCCTCCACCCACCAAAAGCTCTTTTCCCAGAGCTCAGCTACAAAAGAACGAGTGAAATACCATCGCACAGTCGCTTGGAATGCATAATTTGGAGTAGTTCTCATAAGTTTAAAAACTGTTTCATGAGGCTTATCTGTGGATTCCTTAGGAATGAAAAGAATTTAAAATAATTTTGCCCAGTAGCTTCAGGGCAATCTCCTTCACTGGGTGGGCATTAAGGGATTACCTTAGAATAGCCTGACATTGTGTTTAGCTGAGATGAAGTTATGCACGTTAAGCTTAGTCTGTAGCCCTTTGAGGGGGAAGTTGCATAGCATAGGTGGGGGAGCTTTGCCAAGTCCTTCCCCAATTTAGCTTGCTATTTTATTAAACACAATTCTAAGTGGGTGAGGACAGACAGAGGGAACCTTCTCGCTTTATCTTTATTTTGCTTATAGTCTAGACATCTGCAAGCCAACAGAAAATGTAATGCAACACTCTTTTAATCTCATGACAGTTTAAAATTCTGGGTCGAAGGTGGTATCTGAGGGCTGTTTGTCACGCAACATCATTTAACTTCACAACGGGGGAACGAGCTTCGGTCGTGTGTTTAGACCTGTACCCGGCGACTGATTACACGGTGAATGTCACCCTGCTGGGATCTCCTAAGCAGCACTCGGTGCAAATACTGATAACAACTGCTCCGGCAGGTAGGTGTGCATGCCTTTTTGTTCTGTATCTCAGGGCAACAAGTGAACTATGTGAATCGTACGATGCGGGGTCACGTAAAGAATGCTAGTCTGGGAGTCAAGAGACTTGGGTTCTAGTTTTAACAAACCACCCACTTTACCGCCTCTCCCCTTCCCCACAGGGGTTCTGGCTCGTAGAGGGTACAGACCAAGAATGGGCTGTTGTACTCAGAGCTCTCCAGTAGCAATGGCTTGAGCTTACTGTGAAGCCTCCTGTCTCTCACCCCAAACTTCAGACAGCTGAGCCCTAAGGGTGGTCATTATGGACAACTAGAACCACCTTCCAGGGGATCAGAAATGTGAGATGGACTGCACCAGCACTGGCAGGACAGAGCAGCCTCTGGAGCAGACCACATGTGAGCAAATGAATCCAACATTAGAACAATGGCCTAATGAAGGTCCTTAGAAGGCCCCTGCAGCTTGTGAGGAAGCCCTGTGGAGGCAGCTCTGTCAACTCCACAGCTCTGTCTAGTGGGGAGGGACACAGAAGTCTCTACAAGATCTTCTGTTCTTTAATCCATCAGGTTTCACAGACACACTTATGGCCAACCAGGTGGAGAGGCTGCCCAACAGTACAGTAGGATGGGCTTGCTCCTGCCTTCCTGAGGCCTCTCTCCCATACTCACCGCTGCTCTCAGAAAAGAAAGCAAAAGTATGTGACGGTTGCTCAACATTGTCAGTGGGCTAAATGTCTCTGAATTGTACAGGGTGGGGCCAAGCTAGGTTTACAGTTGTGAGTAGGTGACACACAGTTTATTCTTGTATTATTTATTTATTATTATTTTCCATACGAACAACTATAAACCTACTTTTGCCTCACCCTGTATACTTGAAAGTGGCTAATTTTATGTTGTGTGAATTGCACCTCAATTTTTAAAAACAGCCAATAGATTAGATATGTTCTTCTTGCTCCTGAGCCTCAGTTACTTCTGAGTGACCATTCCGTGACATAATACAAGCAAAATGTTTAGAACAGCTCCTAGCACATAGTAGTGATGATGATAATGATAGTTACGTGACTGAGCACTAAATATGTGCCAGGCACTTTCCAAAGTGCTATCCTTGGGTCAGCTCAAACCTATGAAGCCTGAGGAAACCACTGCTATTCTTATATTACAGATAAGGATCGTGAGACACAGAGAAGTCAAGCAACTTGTCCAAAGTCACATATCCAGTGAGATGCGCAGCTGGGACTTGAACACAGGCAATCTGGCTCCAGGGCCCTCATTCTTAATCAGTCCTTCTACTGTTTCTTACTAAATATTCAGCTATTAAAAGGAAAAAGCACAATTATGTTTCCAGAACCTAGTGCCTAGTCAGTCCAGACCCACCTAGCTCTTGTCAACCTTGGACCATGAGCAAAAACTTCAGTTGCCGTGGATGTATAAATGTGTTCATTTAATAAGTGTTTATTTCTTGCATCCTGGATATCAGGCAGGTTCTGAAAGCTGACAATGGAGCAGCAGTAAAACAGTCCCAGCTGTCCTTGAGCTGGAGTCAGGGGGTCGGGAGGGGAAAGATAAACAAGTAAGGAAAGATATGGGGCTCAGTGTTAAGATGAATTACAAAACACGGCAAAGGGAGTGGCAATCGATAGTTAGGGAAGGCCTCTATTATAAGGTGACATTGAAGCACAGATCTGAAGGAAGTGAGGGATAAGCCATGCACAGAGGGGTCACCAAGCAAGAAGGTCTGGAGACAGGCAAGTCCTTGGCATGTTTTTGGAACATCAACGCAGAGTGAGCTGGAGAAAGTGGTAGGAGGTGAGGTCTGAACTCTCACTTGAGTATAATCAGAGGCCCATGGTGTCAAATTCAGAAAGTAAAGTTCATTATTGCCTTCTCCTTCGCAATGTGGACCCCAAATCACCAGTAGTAAATATAACGTTAGCATGTGATATTTCAGCCTCTGTAAGTTACCAAGCAGTCGAGAGCCCACCACCCATCCACTTAAACCTAATTCAGGGAAAAAAATCTCTGCTAATGAGGTTATTTGAATTCAGCCTGACACTTGGCTTCTCATCTGTTTTGGAGGGAGGGAAATTCACTGTCCTTGGAAATTTTACAACTTCACAATGGTGACTCCAGGTCTTTCTTGGTGCCTGTCCCAAGTCCTTAGAACCTCTTCATCTTCATCTCCTTTGAGCCCTGTTTCTACCCCCCTCCACCATTGCTGATGAAGAGCCTCCTTTCATTGTGGGCAGGGTACCCCACAATATAGTAGTAGGAATAGTAGGAAACTGAAAGCAGCATGATTGTCTAGCATGCCCCTGCCACAGTCCCAATTTCCTGTTCTTTCCCCTGAGTTTCTCTGTTTCCAGAAAAATCCCAAGAATTCTTTCAGCTCTGAGCCCCTTGGGCCCCCGTTTTGAATGCCTTGCCTCGGAGTCCTGCTTCCCGGTTAGGAGGTTTCACATTTGTCTCCCCTGCAGAATTCCCCTCCCCTGCTCCCTGGCTGCTGTTAAGTTGCTGGAGCTGGTGCTCTCTCTGGCCTGGTGAGGTCCAGGAAGTGCCCTAGGTTAGTGGTTTCTCACCCAGGCTCCACCTTTCCTTAGAAGCACATTTCTCAGGAACTGGAGCATTCCTTCCTGCCATGGTTTCCTTTCCTGCGCCGGAGAGATAAGGCGCCAGTTGTCCCCTTCCCTCTGAGTATTCTGCTGTTTCGGTGGCCCCTGCTGAGCTGGCAGCTTGCAAACTTCCATCCCAGTTGTTTCTGTTCCTTCTTCATTCCCAGGCCTGCCTGATTCCTTTTGCTAGGCTTAGATGTGTGATCAAATGGGGCTTTCTCCCCCTTTTGCCCCTGGAAGTATGGGGCAGTTGAATCTGCAGGGGCACCTCGCCTGGCTTACCCATCCAGCCTCAGGCTGAAAAGCCGAGCGGAGGGCAGTGGCAGAGGCTGGTTACTTATCTCTTGAACGTGGAGATATAGGTGCCCCTTGCACCGGAGCACAGGCAAGTCCCAGAGAGCACGAATCTGCACCGTGGTAGGACAGTGACCTGTAGTAATGAACTCCACCCGCTAGGAAATGTGATAGAAGGAATGGGGGCCTCCTACTAGTCCAGTCACATAGCACTGTTCCCTTCCTGAGGATTAGTGAGGAGGGAGTGGAGAGAGGTCAAAACTGTCCTTTCCTTTAGGGAAACGGAAAGACAGGTGTATAGCAACCTTTAACCCAGTCGACCTCTGTAATGTTAGCAGGCTGAACAGGAAAGGTTTATTGTAGTTCTAGGAGCCTCTCTTAGGAAAGCAATCTTAGGTTCCTTCCAGTTTACTTATCTCAACATCCAAATTTCTTGGCTGATTTATTTAACCTCATTATTTTGTTTGTTCAATTTTGTGTTCTTATGGATATCTAAAACTTATTCCTATAGTAAGAGATTATTACTTGTGTCGAATTTTTGTGTCAAACATTGCTCCTGTTTTATAGTTTCTTTTAATTCTGTTTATGGTGTTTTGACATATAAAAGTTTTAGATTTCTGTGCAGTCAAATCTATTGATCTTTTCTGTTGTGATTTATCACACTAATATTAAATATAGATTTTTTAAAAGCAAAAGAGTATGTATATCCCATCTTTTTTTTTTTTTTTTCCCCCTAGGAAAGACTTTAAGTGGCCTGCATGGGCACATAAACTAAGTTAATGTGTAAGTTAGATATGTAAGTTAAAGAAGAGTGAAAACAGAGTCAGGAACATAAAAAAGATGTAGGAATAGGTTAAGAATAATTCACATCCTTTAACCTGTTTACTTGCTCCTTAGTGGCTCGCAAATTTAGGTTTATGTTTTCGACCCATCTAGTCAGAAAGGGAGCCATTACATTGTCCAATGTTTTACAGCAAAGCCATGTCTTTTTGGGAGAGCTACAAATTTTTCAACACCAAGATCAGATAGAAATTTCTGATTCCAAGGGGTTTCATAAATAGTACAATGGACGGGCAGTGTTTTCAGAGGATTTTTATAAGCCTGTTACTTTTATTGCCCCTCAATATGGTTCATTATAATACAGAAAAGCCTCAGTTCACTGTGGGGTGGGCAAGGAAAGGTGCCTAAGAAATGCCTGTGTTCTGCTGATCTGACTTGATGCAGGACTAGGATTAGGTTATTTTAGATTATTTGGAGGTATGACTGGAACCAATGTCTTTCAAGCAGCGGTTCTTAACTATTGTTTCTCTGAATTCAGATTTGATAAGTGTTTGGTGTCAGATCGGCAAAAATATAATTTTATTTATATTTTTGGTGTGCTGTAGAATTTTAGTAATTAGTTTTTGTGTGACATGAGATGAAAAAGGTTGAAAATCTCTGGGATATAACATTATTCAAAATTGGAGTTTTGCTGTTATTTTGTTTCTTAAGACACATTTGGCATCTGGTTAGAACTACCATGTAATTTTCATGCAAAAAGCGTATGATCATATGTGGAGAGGAATGTGAGGGCTTCAGTCACCCATTCATCCATGCATCCATGCAAAGCAGATTCAAACTATGCCCTCAGCTCAGCTCCCTAGGCTCAGCCTTCTAAACAGAGGCAGGCAGCCTTTTGGGGGAGCACAGGTCCTTATTCAACTGGCAACACAGACCAACAGCTCCCTCCATACTGAGATTAGTCTGGACATGGGGGTTTTCTGTGGTAGTTTCTTGATAACCTTCTCATTTTTTCTCTGAGAAAAAGCCTGTTTAAGCTTCTTATATCTAATGGGGTCAATTTGGGTAAACTGTATTAGGAATTACCCATTTCATCTGTGTTTTTGAAATTATGTGCATAGTGGTCTGCAAAGTAGTTTCATTTAACTTCTTGAATTTTCTTTGGTTTCAATGATTATTTCTACCTTCGTTTGTATTTCCTCCCTTTTTCCTAGATTAAGTTAGCTAGTGGTTTGTCTATTTTTATGTATTTTTAAAAGCCAAGGTTTTGCTTAATTAATTAGATCTACTACTTTTATTCTCTTTTACACTGGGAATTAGT